TTGCCAACGTCGGATTAATAGAGTCGTAGATTCGCATCCGAGGAAAATCTTTTCTAGTCGCTGTTGACAACACGTTCTCGTCATCGCTGTCACTTTCTTCGCTTTTGTCTGTCGTCGAGTTCTCATCGTCATCGCAGGTAGATGACGAGAACGTGTTGTCACCTACGACTAGAAAAGATTTCCTCGAATGCCAATCTACGACTCTATTAATCTGGGCAAACACGTTTTTTCAGATAAAGCTCGGCGACATCGAGAAATACATTCACAAACAGACCTAACAAACACAAAGAGACCAAAAACACGCCTATCTACACGGACCATCAAACTTTTCTATCATGTTTTGGCCCTCTTTGTTTTTGCTGTAGTTTTATTTACATCATCAGACTTTCTTTTGCTAGATCTGGTTGCAGCAGATGCTGGTGTTGTGACTCCTGGAGGTGTCGACTGACCCTAAAGAGAAACAGGCTGCTGCGGCGTTGCTGGGAAAAGAACACTAACAGTGGCATTATTACTGCTCTGTTGTTGTTTTGCTGCTTTGTTGCTCTTCTTCGTTTGATATCGGTTTGACAAGCACAGTGAATCGTTACTTCAAATTGTGATGAATTTTTCTGAATGTCCAGTGTGAAGTCTGTGTCATAAATCAGTGCAAGTTCATTCAGTTTCAAACTGTTCGAATTTGACTTGCACCAGTTGCTTACTGAATCGACGATAAATGTTTCGTGATCATCTTTGGAGAGAACAACTTTTGTCGAGTGAGAAGCAGAAAAGGACGACGAATGATTGCCAATGGATACTACAACAGGCTTCGAACGTTTTGTTTTCTGTTGTTTCAAATGCAACTCTTTTTCTTGCTCAAAGCTTCGATCAGAAATTCCATGCTTCCTTTCACGCCGGCTTTAACAACATGAGGGCCATTATTTAACTTTGAAGGAAATGTTGTCTTTAATTTGATCCAAATTGGGACAGTCTAATTCTATAATCGAAAAAATGTCGTGTGTCTTCAAGAGTGACGGTACACTTCGTACAAGTTGAACTTTGAGCAGTTCAGCTTCTAATGGACCAGCAACTAGTAGATGAACGTTGCGGATTTCTGATATTTTCCGATAGCTCTTGAAGACCCGGTTTTCTGGAAAAAACAGTTTTAGAATTTACAAGAAAAGCCCTAATTTAATTTTCTTATTTCTGTAGCTTTGAGCTGACAATGAACATTTAGTGCTGGAAAAGAATGTTTCCCCACCGGCTTCGTAATATGCGAAAACTTCAAAATCACATTTTCACATGCAATTCTCAATGATGATTCACAAAAACAATGTTTCAAAGAAAAATCTATAGTCGTTTTTCTCAAAGAACGAGTTTTTTCGATTTCAGCATCCTTCCCGTATTTTCATTTTTCACCGCAAAGGAAAGGGCTGGGAAGGTTTTAAAGGTAATTTTCAGATTCAGCTCCTTACCGCCCCAACCATGTGTAAATATTGAGAAAATAAAATAGTGTCGTAACTATGAGTTAGCGGCTTCTTACCACTTACGAGCTTTGGATGCTTACAAACCTCAATAACCCACCGTCATGAGCCGTCCAGTGGGACGGACGAATAACAGTTTTGTATGACTCTAGACTCTCAGTCAAGGAGATACAAAAAGTTTTTATGAGACATATTTATAGAATACTGCATTTCAAGTTTATTTAAGATAACAGAGACACTTTCTTTGAACAAAAAAACAAAAACTAAAAGCGAAGCTCATTTGTAGTTTTGATTTAAGTGCTAATACACTACTGCATTTTGTTCTTCTTTCGGTGTTATTTTTGCTGCCTGGAACTTTTTCAGTCCGTAATATGTTTGACCCTTCCATGCAACGAAAACGAGATCGCTTTCTGTAGCCCCCTTCCCATTCGGATATAAGGCGTCGTAGTTAAACAAATTGTTGTTATTTCCATCTGGATCCGAATAAGCGCTCAAAATTATGTTCTGTTCGTTCGGTTTAACTGTGTTGTGTAGAAACTTGTTGTTCGACGCATAAGCAACGACTACTTCGCCGAAGCCCGAGCGGTTCTTATCGTTGCTCTCAAATCGATTATACTGGAATGTGCAGTTCAGAACACGACCTCGACTATACGTACAGACGAAATAGAGTTAACATGACTAGTTATTTTGAGCTCTACACCTCCAAGAAACACAAATCGGCTTTTCAGCGAATAATACAAACAGTATTCTATAGAATGAGATGACGTCTGACTCTCTGGCATTTATTTCCGAAAAGGAAATTAATTTACAAAAATTTTCATCATAGTTCAGAGAAAAATACTTTTATTTCTTTAGTTTTTTTCATATAAGTGATCTCTCTTCTTAAAAAAAGGAGAGAGGATCGGTTGTTTTTTGTGAAAAAGAGGAAATCTGATGTTCTCACTAAGGGATTGAACTTTGAAATTGAGAAATGTCACTTTGTTTCCATATGTACCGTGAATTTTCAGTTTTTGGTTACTTTTTAGTCACTTGTAGGTCAATTTTTGCCAAAAATACGGGGTGATATACGACTCCGAGGTCCCCTTCGAAGTTGGAGACACATTCTGACAAGGAGGCACTTTTTAACCTCGAACTCGATTTCGACGTCATGTTTTTTAAAGAGCATTTTTTCCGAAAAGGTAACTTACGGTCTAGGAATCAATCTCTAAGTCAACTTCAAGATAGTCAATTAGAAGTCGACTTCTGACACATAGGTTTTACTCAGAAGATGTCCTTTCGCAAAAAAAATATTTTCGGGTAACGGATTTTCGGACATTTTCGTTCACTACATATCTTACGGAACCATAATGTGATTCCATCTACATTCAAATCACTTGCGGTTTTTGGATTTAACTTTACTGTTTGTAATACTTTCTTTGCTGCGCACTTACGTTCTTGGCTCATTATTTAGCTAAATGTTTTCCGAACGAGGTAGCAGTAGGAACAAACTTTTTAAAGTCATCAGATAGCCCATCGATTGCGCAGTACAGTTATCGCCTGCGTAAAATTTGATGTAACTGATTATGCTCTTGGAAAGGGGCAGATGTTTCTGACGGAAAAAGTGAAAATCTCTACTTTTTCCACCTGAAAAAATAAGAGTGAAACCTAGAAGAAGTTGAAATTTGTACTTTTTCTACCATCTTTTAGTTCGTTGACTACTGCAAAAGATGAGATGACGAGGGTGGTACGGCATAACATTTTCCCAACATACTTTTCAATTTTTACGATGTACAGTGACTTAGAATAATGGCGTACGTATTTAGGTTTGCGTTGAGGTCATTTTTATACAACCATTGGAACGTGTAAAGCGCTAGATAAGGATAGACGAATTTCCAACGTAAGTGAAGTTAGCAGCAGATTTGGCCTGATATTTTTCGGAGGACGTGTACAATAAAAACTGACAACTGTACAGTATCCAGAATCAAATACTACCCATTGTACACCCAACTGAACTACTTCAAAAACTGAACTTTATTAGGAAAAATCAAAATACACTGAAAAGTCGAATCCTCTAGCAGCGGATTTTGACGTTTTAGCACCAGATTTTTCCAGAGACCTGTACAATTAATTTAAATAATACCAATCGATTACACAACTCGAGAACTATGCTGAACGTTCAATTAAAATCTTTATTAACCATTTTAAAAGCCTTAAAAATATTTGAGTTTCTGTAAGATTTTGAAAAATCCCATTATACATTTTTCAGACAGAGAAACATAGTCAATGCGCCTTCAAAAATCGGACTCCATCAATCACAAGTTTCTTAACACTATCAAAAACTTTACAGGTCGTTATGTCATCCCCGCTAAAGGTCTCGGGATACTCAGAAAACCATTTTACAAAGATTTCGAGGTACCCACGCCTATTTCGCATGAGAAATAAGCTCGAGACCGATTACGAACAATAACGCTAACCTATCCAAGTATTGTGCAATCGTTTTCACAGATGCTGCATTCCCTTTAAGCCGTAGAGTTTTCCAGAAAACCACTGTAGAAAGATTTTGAGCCACTTAGTGGAGAAGGCTGAAAATCAAAAAATTATTTTTTGCCAGTGGAATTGATTTGGTGAAAAGTTAAACAGAAATTCACTTTCGAGCTTCTAGCAAGAAATTCAAAATATCGGCTGGATTCTTCCAGTGAATTTTGAGAAAACCCATGTAGAAGGCATTGTTTTGCTTTTTTCTACAATGCCCTCTATATGGGTTTTCTGAGAATTTACTGGAAGAATCCAGCCGATATTTTGAATTTCTTGCTAGAAGCTCGAAAGTGAATTCCTGTTAACTTTTCGCCGAATCCATTCCACTGGCCAAAAAAAACTTTTTGACACAGTCCATGCCGTCAGTCTAGAAATTTCTAATTTGTTATGACGTACACCTGGTGAAAAAGTGAAGTCTCCATCTACTAAGTTGCAAAATCTCCACTAAAGGGGGCGGGTACAACCTTAAGCGAAAATACTTACTTAACATCGTAGCCGCCAAAGCCTAAGCCCCAGTAATAATTGTCATGAACATAATTGTTGAGAACTAGAACCTGAGTGACGACGACGCCTTTGTTTTCGGCTCCAATTTCGATTCCAACGTCCGAGCTCCACACTTCGTTGTACTGGATCGTGATGTTTTGACCGCCATCAACGTAGATCGCGGCTGCAACTGCATACGGGGAATGAACATTGTAAACGGTGTTGTTCGCGCACACTCCGTCGCGTGCAGGCAGTTTACCCATGCCAGTTTCGCCGCCTAAATAAAATTCTTCCCAGCAGATTAATTACATTAATTACAATTGGTTAACTCGCGAGCTATGAGCGTTTTTATCCTCAGTTTGAGTTGACTTTTTGTGTTGATCAAAGATAGAGAACTCCGATGTATTTCTTCTTATTCCAGCCTATCCATAAAGACGACGAGTTAGTTCAATTTTTATATTAAGAGACTTTCCCGGATTTCAACCATTGAGTAGAAAAAAAGTTGCCTTGAATAAGGCTTGAGGCCCTGGATAAACGTCATGGAAACTTCGCGGATAGCTGTGTCTGCGAAAGAATATTGCCAGATGAGGATCTAGTGACAGCCGCAGAGCCTCAGATTTTTTCTGTAGAGTAGAAAATGTCTGTTATGTCTTAGGCAACAGAGTCGTGCAAAGAATAATGCGATAGAGCACTTACAGTTAGGGAGGAGCGCCACTCACGGCATTTTCATAGTTTAAACCATCTCAGAATTGGCAGTCGGAAGTCTTTAGCCCTTTCCTTTCTAAAATAATGCAAAAAAAAGGCAAAACTCAAAAATGTACCCACGTCCGGAATCATCAAGTTTCTCTGATATCTAAAAATCATATTTCTCAGACCACACCCCTAACTCTTGTCGTACTTTGTGGATGACTCCATACCGATAAAATCTATGCCGATGTTGTTGACATCGTGAATAAGGTTTCGTGTCACTTGAAACAGTTCAATATTTCCATTCAAGGTCAGGGTTTCGCTCCATGCCGGATCACAGTTGTAGATCGTATTACTGTCGATAATCAAATGGGATCGCGATTGTTGTTGATTGGTGTTGTAAATGGTAATGGCCATTGCGCCGCCGTCCTGAGAGCCGCCCTTGATTGTGTGAATGGTATTGTTTCGCAGTTCGATGTAGGAACCGGGTCCGAACACCCGGATTCCCGAACCGTATGTCGTGGTCAGTGTTGACACTTCAAAGCCGATGATTTTCAAATAGCTTTTACCGCTGATGTAAAAGATGTTCATGGAATCGTCCGGGGACTGTTGTTTGGCGTGCAGGCCCGATACGACAACTTTATCGTTTTGATAGTTTTGAAATGTGATATAACCGTCTCGAGTGTTGCCTTGGACGTTGATCGTCACCGTTTCATAGTACGTCCCTTTTTGCACGTAGACAGTCGAGCCGGCTGGAGCGACATTTGCTGCATGCTGGATTGTTTGCCATGGTTGTGTTAAACTAAGACCAGTATGTGTATCACTACCGGTTTTTGAGACATAATACACTTTTGCTGCCCCCACATCTACACAAGATACGGGAAACTTAATTCAAGAAATTTTTTTGCGTAATTTGTACGTTCATAGGAATTTTGAAAGAATTTCTCGCATGGCAAACGAAACCATGGACATTCCAGTTTAGAATTTCTCTTTTACAAAACGAAATTTTAGAAGCTTTGCAATACGAGTTACAAACTGATTGTTAGCTATAGCAGCAAAAATTGGGTATGCGAATTGTTTGGAGAACCAACTGAAGAAATAGTCAATTTTTCCCGTGTTTTCACGTTTAATGAGGTACACAGTAGCAGAGCTTTTTGAAAAGATGATTGGAATGTTGGGATGGATAGAGAAAAGAACAAAACTGTCGGCAAAGCGAATGAAAGTACTAAGAACTGTCAACTAAATGGTAGCAAGAGAAAAAAATTACCAAATTGCTAGTATTACCTGCAGAAAATATGGTCATAATAACCACTAAAATGCATGACTGTGTTAGCATGACGATACCTTCACTCGTTTTATTACGGAAAGCTTGAATATTATTCTTTTAAAAAGCGAGCAGTTAATAAAACGTTACTGTTCTTTATGAAGCAAATATAGATTCAGGAAATGATATGTAGGGTCGAGTTGTATGGTGGGTGTCGTTGCTTTGTAGGTTATAGAGAAGAACAAACACACTGATGCCAATCATTATCTACGCCTCTCGTATTTTTGTTGTTGTTTCTAGTGATGTGTGTTACAGGCTTCTTTAAGATTGCGTTTTTTTAACTTTTAAGAAGGCAATGCGTACGAACATTTTCTTTTTCCCTTCCATGTCAGACCTTTTTCTCGTTACATGAAAAACAAACAACGCGGCAATTATGCATGTAAACCTCTGAAGTGTGAAAGCCTTTTGCACCTGTGAAATGAGTTGAACAGAATGATCTATAAAATTATGATGCGAAATATTGCTTTTTTTGCTACTATTTTCTTCTTGGTTGACTTATAGCTACACGAATGTGCAAGCAAAAATTTCATGCGGTTGTGCAAATTCGATTCTCATGTTTCATATTAATTTTTGGATCAAACACGATCATGCAGTGGCTCAGAACTATTGGAGTGAAACTATATCGGTTAGTTGTACAACTAGTTGCGAAAGTGATACTCATGCTGAGTGCAGTGTATGTAAAAGCTCTTTATAAACTTGCATCGATGGAGAACGCAGTGTTGTGGGCTAATTCGGAACAACTTTTCAAATTTTTTCAATAAAATCATCATAGATCATTCAGTTTCATTCGAAAAATATCGCTATCGCACAGCCGGTTGGCTTCATACTTTTGTATCGACTGAGAAAAATTTTCTCAACATTCATTAACACCAATGAGTACAGCCAATTTCCAGGAAGTACTTATCAAATGTTCCGAATTATCCTAGTCTTGGTGATTCGAAATAGTACCTTCACTTTAAGAGTTCGCGCTTTCTAACAGTATATTCCAACTTAACCACACAATAATTATGAGAAATTCATACATGCTTATTTAGATTCCAATGGCATAACCAGGGTTTTCAGATTGTTGGGCTGTGCTCCCTAGAGTCAAAAAAACTCGATGGACCTAGGTGGGCTGAACGTTTCCTGCTTGGGCAGGAAATCTTTCCGACTGTTGCCAGTTCTGATGCCGTCATTTTCCGTGCTGCTCGTTACCGTGGCCATGGGCTCTTCTCAATACCGCATGTTCTGTACGACAGAGGATGCAAAGCGAAGCCTGAACTGCATTAGTCTGATCACCAATAAATATTCTATAGCAACTTAGACATATTGATACTTGACAAAAAATATAATTTATTATTTACTTTGAAGTTTATTTTACATAAAGCCATAAAACAACGTTTATTTATGACATAATAAAAAAATTCCGTTGTTTTAAGGCTTTTACCTTTTTTGTCGTAGTCAGCATGGTTGAGTTTACTGATCAACTCATACTCATGGTTATTGAATTTTATGAAAACTTTCAGCTATTTCAGCTTTTGTTCTTTGTTTTTACTTCCACGGTCCTACAAACTATTTCCCAGTATGTTTAATGGTAAAAACCTGTTGGATCTTCCCTAACTGATTGACTGGATATGGTATGAAAGTCAAAAAAATAAAGCATTTTCGATGAAAGGAAAGTTTTTCATTTTTGATAAATATTATAAAGTCTTTTTATTGTTCATGCCAAGCACGCCTCACAAACAAAGCAATATGGAAAGATTCTGTTCATGAAAAGTTGTTCACAGTACTTGTCTCCACCAGATAAAATATTTTTCTCGCTTTACTTCGCTCTTCTTATTTCAGGTGCAATATATTTGTCAAATAAAGAACTAGATATTTTCGGTTCGATGGATTTATCTAACTGTATGATATACATAAACTGATTCTTCTGCGAAATATCATCTTAGGAAGTGCTCCTAATACTTTAATGTTCATCTTCAACGTAGAGATCCCGGTTCGTACACTTTACGATGCATAAAGTCTCCTGCTAGGGCAGGAAATCTTTCCGACTGTTGCCAGTTCTGATGCCGTCATTTTCCGTGCTTCTCGTTACCGTGGCAATGGGCTGTTCTCAATACCGCATATTCTGTACGATAGTGGATACAAAAGGAAGCCTGAACTGTAGCAGTCTGACCACCAAACATGCAAAGAAATAAAGAATAAGCACATGCCGCTTTAGTTTGGATTTATATTTCGTTTTCATGTCACACACTTTGTGCAGAATTGGTATGTGAAGGAAAAGCTTTGGGCCGAACACTCAAAAACATTGTCTATTGGGCCAATGCTAAGGTCGCATTGGGCCATGGTCCAATGCTTCCTGTCCCCGTAGTTACGCCTATGTTAGGTGCACATCGAAAGAAGAATGTAGGTGAGTCTATTTAGATGCTAGTATGGTGGTGAACTCTGCTTTTTCATACGTTTTTAGCTTGCTTTTAAAGATTTAAACGTTGAATGAAGTCAAAATAAGAAAGATCGTGATTTAATTAAAA